CTGACCCTGAACTGGGCTGATGCATGAACAATCATTCGAGAACTGGGCAGGCCTGGGTTGACCTACCTTATCCAGGCCCATCATTAGCCCTGCCAGGGGTGTACTGGCAGGTGCTTAACAACCAGCTCTCCACAAAAACAAAAGTCTTGATTTGTAGCATGTGCCGATCCCCATGGTGTGAACACATCCCCAGTGGCTGATCCGGCTGCCGGCCTGGCATCGCTGGCTGCAGAGTTGGGGAGAGATGGTATGATTGGCCCTCCCCAGCCCTCATGTGCTACCACACATGTCTGTGGACTTCAGGCTCCCAGGGTATCTGCTCCCTCTGGACCCCACAAGGGACATCTCACATCTGCGAAGGTTACAGTCAGCAGGGGTGCGTTAGGAGAAAGTCCTTTAAAAACAGAGGAAGAATATGGGGCCTGGCCAGGAAAATAGGGCCAGGAGGAGAATGGAGCCGGGCCACAGAGTCCTGGAGTGGCACACTAAAGTGGGAAGAGGTCACCTTGGGCCTAAGCACTGTCCTCAGAATCTTGGGGATTCTTGGGCAACTGTCTGTGGCTCTCTTTTTCCGCTTAGCATGGACACCTCTGTCCCTTCATTCTTATTCATCATTGCCTCTTCCCTTCTCTCATCTCAACCCTTGTATATGCGTTGACGCTGCTGATAGCAGAGGCACCTCTGCCCCTTAATTCTTCTTCCTCTTGGCCTCTTTCTTCCCTTCTTCTTTCATGCTAACACTTGTATATTCCTTGGCCCTGCTGATAACCTGCAGGCTCCACTGAGCTCTCTGGAAGCTGCTGAGGGCAGAGGAGAGAAGGTGATGTGAGAAGTCCCCATGGGGACTGGTGTGGAGGGAAAGTGGATGATCAGCTTTCAATCACATCTCACTTCTAGTCTTCTTTTCACTCAACCTTCCATCTGCAAGAAGCATCCTTGGGCCTCCCTCCTGCCCTGTGGTGCAGCACGGGTCAGGATCAGGTGCAGGGAACATTTCAGTACCACTGAGCCTGGTGCTCTGCAGGTGCAAGGCCTTACCCTCGAGCCCCATTCAACCCGATCTCCAAAAGGCTCTGTGGCAGAGGCAGGTACCAGACAGCTCGTGAATGTGAACAGGACCCAGCACCGCTTTCTGCCTCTCTCTTAGATGTCTCTGATGGCCAGTACCCTGGAACTGATGCTGGCCCATTTCTAGTGAGTACTGAATTTGAGCATTCTGGATGTGGATGCTTTCCAGTCTCTTAGTTGGGTTTTCTCATTTCCATTTAATATACTGAGATGTGCTAAGAGGTTTATCCCAGGAGCTCTGAAGGGAGTGACTGGCAGAACATCTATTGGTGCCCAGTCCTGCCCAGTATGAGACTATCATGCATCAAGCATGCTCCCCTTTTTCCTTATTCTAAAGCCAAGTGGGCTCAAATAATAAGTGTAAGAGGTTAATGAGGTCAAGGTCAGAGGAATATCTTCCTTGCAAATCACTGTATCTACTACTGCACAGCAAATCACCTCCAAATCACTGGCCCCATGATGCTTGGACCTCAGTTGGAAGCTTCTGAAGGCTGAAATAATCTGAAGGCTTAACTGGGGCTGCAGGATGAACATCTAGGGTGGCTCACTCATGGGGCTGGCAAGCTGGCACTGGTGGTTGGTGGGTAGGCTCAGTTTCTCACCACATGGCAGCTCAGAGGGACCCAAGAGATCAAGCTGGAAGCTAAAATGTCTTTTTTTGACCTAGCCTTGGACACTGTCGCTTCTTGGTCACTTAAGTCAGCTCTGACTCGGTGTGGGAGCAGACTGCATGAGGGCATGAGTACCTCTGGCTGAGGGTCACTGGGGCCATTTTGGAGGCTGGCAACCACAGTTACTTAGAGCGGCTTACACTCAGACCACCTGGCAACCATATTGTAAATGTGTTACCAGGCAAGAGCATTCAACCCATCAGCACAAATCCATCTTCATCACAAGGAAAACAACTTGAGGCCTTTTTGTCATGCACACCCCAGTTAGAGGGGCCAAGTGACTCATTTAAACTACTCCAGTGTACTAGGCAGTGCCAAGAGAGAGGCCTCATGTGGGAAACATGAACTGTATGCTGTCCTCGGAATTCAGGCATACTATGGGACCCTGTGCCTCCCAGGACTTAATCCCAAGAAGGGTTACACTGAAGTGTTTCTACTTTCTTGTTATAGAAAGACATGGCTCTGGCCAGATCTGGGACTTTGTGACTTTCTGGCCAGTGGAGTTAGGTCGCACCCCCTCCCTCCCTCCATCTCCCCTTACCTCACAACATCCTGGAACTTCTGGTTTCTGTGGTTAAAAAGACAATTTTTTTGGTTAGTTGAAAGAGAAGGAAGACTTCTGTAGAGAGGGTAGTGGATGAAAGGGCCTGGGGAGGAAGGGGAGGAAAATTTGGAGCATGGGAGGCATGGAAGCTGTTTTGGTGTCCAGAGGATCCAGATCCACAGGGTGAGTGTGGAGGAGGAGAGGGGCGTCCTCCCCACCTAAACACCAACCCTGTGGTGTGGCTTGGGAAGCCGTGATATGGCACCAGAGCTTGCCAAGTTTGGCAGTGCAGCCGAATGGAGGTGCCCTTACAGAGGGCACCATGGGGCTGGCAATGCAGAGATGTCCTTCCATCAGATGGCTCATGGGCAGTGGATTTCCAAGAGGGCATTTGTGGTGAATGAAGTGGTGAGACTTACTCCTAAGCACACCCACCAGTGGGGGTCTCGATATAATGGGAGGAGACAGGGAGGGGTCTGTCAGTGGTGGCCAAAGTCTTAACTAGGCAGAAAAGCCTGGGAGTTGAGATTCAGTTGTTAATATCTCTGTGCTCATTTGCACCCACAGGCTAGGGAAGCCTGGAACAGTTGGTTCTACTAAGAATACCCAGCCACCAAGTTCAATCTACTAGTAGGCACTGTGGTGACATAGGGATGTTCTTCCCCTCCCCTTCCTCGAAAGGCACTCACCTCTCTTATTCATCCCTCTGTCTCCTAAGGGACAGAACCCTTGGCTTAGTCCCTTAGGAGACAGAGGGATGAATAAGTTACTTTGAATGAACTGAGAATCCTGAGAGCTGATGCCCATCCCTCGAAATGGCAGCATTCAAGGAGGATGCAGATTAAAAGCCGCTGGAGTGTGCTGTGGGCATCTGGTGACATGTGCAAAAAGCAGGAGACGGAGGGGACCCTGGCCTCACCCATGTCACTGCGGAAGGCTCCTTCCTCCTGCCTCTTCGGCTGAACTGTAGGATACCGATGATTTTTCTGCTGTCCTGCAGGTGGCGCCACAACGTAGGTTTTTAAGCTGCTGACTGTGGTTTCTCTCCAGTGCGAGGTACAAGACCCAGTCATGGGGGTAGCTCTTGGGGGAAAGAAAATGTGTCTCCAGCACCACCAGGCTCTGGTGATTTATTTAACGAGCAAATCTGGCTTTTATCAACTTAAATAGCAGCACTGTTCCTAGGCTAATAAAATGGTGGTAGCTAAGTGAAGGGAAACGTAAGGATTTCTTCTCCTCTCTCCTATTAAATTGGTCCTTTTATTCAGCCGTGAGAGATGAGCCAATACTTTTTCTGTCTCAACCCAGCAATAAACCCCAACCCAAGTCCCACAGACATAGCTTCTTTAGAAAACAGGACTCTGTGAAGCAACTTGCCATTTAGCTTCTCCCTCTTGTGGCCATGGTCCAGACAATAATATAACCAGCCTCATGACCAGGCGAGGGGTCGAGGGAGGGACTCACAGAGCAATTGTCTGCAGGAGACAGCTAGATGGCCCTACTTGAGTCTCCCTTAGCCCTCACCAGTTGGAGGGGGTGGAGGAGGTCTGAGAACCAAAGGGCTAATGCAGAAACATGTTTTGAACTGTGATAAGATGCTGCCTTTGCCTGTGTGTTTATTGATGGGGTAGGGGCAAGATAGCAGAAGGCCTACCCTCCTTATATCGTGCTATTTGAAAAAAGAAAAAAAAAAAGATACATTCATCTGGAAAGTGACCCTAATTCCTTACATGTGGTTTGTACTTACCTTAGAGTTTCAAAACACCTTAATAAGATGGTATGTCCTTTGAAAGTCATTGCAACTCTAAGGTGGCATATGTGTCAGGTGATAGGTGGGTATCATCAAGAGGACGTGACCTGCTCCAAATTATAAAGCTGGCCGATGGCAGAGCCAGGAGTAGGACACGCGTCTTCTAACTTTCCGGGTAGAGGCCATATTTATCTCACTCCATTCCATTCTCCTAACTTAAGAGAGTCAATCCAATGGGCCAGCACTGAAAAGAAAAAAAAAAAATCCTCTCCTGTTGCTAATTTGACCCTTTCTGCTACTCCCTCCGATGATGTGATAACTGCCCCCTTCAGTACGCCTTTCACTGTGTCATTCAGTGGAAGGAAAGCAGGGAAAAAGGCACTTTGAGATATGGCTCCATTAACAACGGGAGAGCTGGCTGGGCCCCTCACCTGCCCATGGCTGCTGGTCCAGCTTTTTGCTGTACGTCTTCCTTGTCATTTGGCTCTGTTATTACTCTTCAGGCACCACATGGCATTCATTTCTCTGAATGAAAATAAATGACACCACACACTAGACAGGAGATAAAGAATAATAAACACATTTTATTTGCCACCTCTGAAAAAAGGGGGAAAAAAAAGGTCTTTGACTTCCCTTCCATCCATCAGGAAATGGGCCTGGAACTCAAGCAATACACACACACATGCACGTGCGCGCATGCACACACACACACACACACACACCCGATCCGAGGAGGAAAAAGACAATCAGATTGTATTAAAAATACATGTTGGAATGACTGAGAATGGAGACAGAGCTGTTTTCTCACCTTCCCCCCTTCCTTTCGGCATTTTATGGCATACCCTGAAAGCTGAGCGGCCAACAGACATTCAAAAGGAGTTCCCCCTCCCCTGCTTTTATTGAACGATATTCCTTAAGTAACCCATTAGGGACTTTCATGGGGCTATCTGGGCTGTCACTTGTGGGAATGGCCCATGATGATCCTGTGCAGCAATTTAAAAAGGAACACCTAGAAGCAGTGCCAGGACCAGGTGACACAGGCCTTACATGGACCTGGGGGTAAGGGCCTCCTTCAATTTTGTTTCCTCAGTGCCCAGCTGGCCTCGTGCCAATCCCAGACTTGCATAAAGAGACATTTGGCCCTGGGCTTCCTACCCTCCAGAAGGGCATCCAAGAGGCAGCAGCATTGAGTGATTTTGTTATGTGTGTCTCTGGACTTCTGAAACTAACCTGATACTGTGTGCTGTGTCTCTGGACTTTGGAAACTAACCTGATAATTGTGTGCTTTATCTAGAGTCTGGGATTCAGGGTTTCTGGGAAGAGTGGAGCCAGATCAATGTATTCAAGTAAGCCTAATAAGATAACTCCTTGCTGCTTTCTGGGCCATGCAATACTCAGCAGAGAACCAGAGACTAAAAGGGCTCCACGTTGTCTCCTGGAATATCCTTTGACCAAAGAATCAAACATCTGGTTTCCTCCTCGTTCGGGCTTGGTTCATCTTCTCACTGGTGAGAGCAAAGTTTCAGTGGGCTCCTCTCTGGGTGGGCCACGCCTGACCTACATGCGCTGCTCACCTTGGGGCCTGTTTAAGCTGTCATGTCACAGCTCAGTTCAAAGGCTCCCCAATTCATACAACTTTGATTTCTGTGAGAATATAACCCCTATAGGGAGGTGTAGGAATTCATGCCATTATCACTCACGTCCACCTAATAAGGAGGCTCTGAGATGTTTCGATGGGAAGGATAGTAATGGGCAGGAAGTTGCTGGGTGTGAGGACAGTTAGAGAAGGGACAGGAGGGAGGAGGCCAAGAGCCATGAGTCCTTTAGAGGGTCATCCTTGATGGTTGCCTATTCCGGGGAATGCTTACTGTTGAAGGTACCACTTCCCTGAGACTAAGGTAGGAGCGGGGATGAGGATGAGGGAGGTATGCAGAGAGTTGAGTTAATAGAGGTGGGAATCCCTTCGGTTTCTCTTGGTGAGTGGGCCCGTTCCTGGGGGGATCTAGGCAGAGGTATGGGAGGTAGTGCCACCCACTCCCCATCTCCACTGCCTAAGCCAGAGCCACATGGTGATTTCTTTCTTTGGCCCTCTGTAACCACCCTGATGATGGCATGGCCTGTTCTGGATGTAGTCTAGGATTTAGGGTTTCAGAAAAGAGAGGAGCCAGGTCAGCCACTCAGTATAAACATGACTGGAAAAGTCAGGTTACCAAGCCAGCTCTGGGGCACTTGGCCACTCATGCTCCCTCCTGCAGGCCTGCTGCCATCGGTGTCCTTGGCCTCTTTGGGTTCCATGTGAGGGTAACTTGGTGGGGTGGTGGGAGGGGTTCTGACTAGGAATGGGTGTATTCCTCGGTGTCAGTATGCGCTTGTGTCAGCTCTGAGCACCTGAGGGTCCCTCCGACGGCCAGCACCCAGAGCTGCACCTTCCAAGGGAGGCGGCTGAGTGCCTCCCTCTGAGCGCGCGCCGTGCGCCCGGGTCACCCCTGTATGCGCCCCTCTCCGCTCCCCATTGCCGCCGCCAGGGTGGCTCCGTTCGGGCCGAGGGTACCCAGGGGGTTGTCGGCAAACGTCCGTGCGGGGAAGAGCCAGCGAGCTGGGCGGTGGCGGGTGGGAGCGTGTGCAGCGAGGCGCCCCCAGCCCCCTCTGCCGGCCGCTCTCCCTCGGTCTGGATGTCAGCTGCGAGCTCCGAGCCAGCGAGAACGAGCCAGAGAGGGAGCGGCGGCGGGCGGCGGGCGGCGGGTGGCGGGCGGCGGGGAGGAGAGGAGGCGAGGCGAGGGAGGGAGGAAGGGAAGCAGGGAGGGCGGGAGGGAGGAGAGGAGGACCCAGAGAGCGCCAGGCAGCTGGAGTTTTTGCAGCGCTTGGCCGGGCTTCAATGCACAGCAGCAGCGAGCCGCGGCGGCAGCAGGCAGCCCGGGAGCTCCGGCGGCGGCCGAGCCAGCGGCGGCCCCTCTCCCTGCCCCCTGCAAACTTTGCTAGCAGCCAGCCCGGGGGTCTGGGGGCGCGCCCGGGAGGCCCGGCTCGGCCAGCGGCCGAGCTCTCCGCCGCCGCAGCGCCAGCCGCCGTCGCCACCGCCGCAGCCCCGCGCCTCCCCAGGGAGCAGACGGCGGCTCCAGCGGCCCCCCAGCCCCGGCCCCTGGGCACTGCCCGGCGAGTCCCCCGGCAGGGGTGGGGGCTGCCGCGGCGTGGCCGGCCGCTGGCTACAGGGGGGCGGCCGCTGCTGCCCAGAGAGGCGCGCAGAGGCGCCGAGAGCGCTCCCCGGCGGGTCCCCCGTGCACTCGCCGCGCCGGGGCAGCGGCCCGACCGGGCAAGCATGGGCGGCGCGGAGTGACGCCGCCGTGCCCGCTTGGCATCAAGGACATTTAGCCCGCGGGGGTGGGGACGAAGGGGGGCAGCCCCGCGTCGCCACCGCAGCCCCCGAGAGCAGCCGCCGCAGCTGCTCGGGCTCCGGGGCTGGGTGGAGGAAAGGGGTGTTCCGAATCGATCCCCATTTTCCGACCTTTTTGTTGGACATTACGCCCACCTTGGACGCCGCAAGAGGAGCTGTCAAGCACCGCAGGCTCTGATTCAGCGCCCTCCGCGTTTCCCGGCTGCTCGCCGTTTCCCTGTGCCTCGGTGGAGTATTTGCGTTCGGTGCTGGGGCTGGAGGAGGCAGCCACACGCGCGCACACGCACACGTTCAGAGGAGGGCGAGAGGCAGCGGCACGGGCTCCATCTGCAGTGTCAATGCGGCGCTCCCGCTGAATGAGGGAAACGCGGCGCGTCCAGGTAAGGAGCCGGTCGGCTGGGGCGTGGGGCCGGGCGGGCGGGTGGCTAGGGCGGCGCGGCCAGAGAGACCCGAGCCGGCCCGGGAGTACTCGGTGCCCCGGAGCCAGCCCGCGGCACACGCACACGCACACATGCGGGCACACACACAGATCCACACGGGCACATACGGCGCTCGCGCACCTGCCCAGGTCCCACCTGGGCGCCCGCGGAGGTGCAGCGGCCGGAGCAGGGATTTCCCGGGTGCGTTCCCCTCTCACACTCCGGGACTCAGAATTCTCTTCCTTCCCTTCCCCGGGACTTTTGGGGTGGGATTCTGTGTATTACCGGCTGTGCCTCCCACCGGGGGAGGCTGAGGGAGCGAATTTTCAGCTCCCAGCCCCTTTCATCCCTAGCTGGGCTTTAAAACGGGAGAAGTCATGGGAGGTCTCCGGAGACCCACCCAGTGTCATCGCGGCCCCGTGGCCTTTGGACACCCAGGGATTTCAACGGGAGACAGACCCACAGATATTCGGACTCATATTTGGAGAGAGTGGTGGCCCAGCGCGCGGGGAGGAGGCCACATAAGCGGTTGGGGCTGCAGTTCTGTAGGGCGGCGCATATGGAACAGGCACTGCATTTCCCCAGTAAGAGGCAGCACAAATGCCTTTCTGAAGCGTGCACTGCTTCTCCGGGAATGCGCCGAGATTTCAGGCAGAAAGGGGCTTACGGCATCACCGCGTGTGTTGCTTGCCTAGGGAAGGGGTGGGGGCCAGATCCTCCTTAAAAGGTATGACCTTATTCACAGCCTCAGTCCCTGCTTAGCAGCAAGCAGACAGGACTTCGTGACAGAGGACTTGGGTCCCCTCTCACCTCCCTACCTTTCCTGGGCACGTGGGGCTGCCTTTCCCGGTGCCTCCTCCTGTCACATGTCTTTCGAGGTGTCTGAGAAAGAGAACTAGAAGGGGGAAGCACGAGAGGTGTAGTCCTCCAAAAGAGGAGGCTCCCGACCCTCACGACCGCAGCGGCAATGCCCACCGGAGGAGGCAAGGCATTCATGGGTCTGCCAGCGTCCCCCAGAGCCTGGCTGCTGCTCCGAGCAAAGAATCACTCTCCAAAAGCCCATGCTTCAAGGTCCTATTTCCCGAAAACATTTTCATTCTTGTTCTCCCCGGCTGGAGTTTCACAGGCTACTCATTTTAACTTTTTCTGGAGGAGGTAGGAAGTGGTTGGGATTCTAAGGGGCTTTTCCATAGTTCCCTTCTTGGGGTTTAAGAGCAACTCATTTAGGGTCTCAGTTGTCACTGGAGAAGAATGTGAGATCCAAATCAAACAGTATTTTGGAACTGAATATACATGTACAGGCTCCTGTGTTTCCGGAGCTGTCCCTTTGACGTAGCTTTTTGGACAACCTGACCGTATAATTCCCCCCCCAAAACTGAATAAGCTTGCACCCTCTGTCCAAGATCATGTGTTTGGAGTATCCCACAAACCCACCAGTGAGAAAAATATGTTGGGAGTCTTCCAGAACGCGATGGGAGAAGAGCAAACATTCTTTTGAACAAGGAGGCCTCAGTGCTAGGTGCAGAATTTGGGTTGTTTTTGTAAATCCAGAAGATGGGTGCTGAACGAAAGGGCTTTTTCAGCACCCCGACTCCACTATTTCCAAACTTTTTTTCAGCTCCTGCAAAGGTCTCTAGCTAGGCTGGGGAGAAACACAGATGCCCTAGGAGGGAGATTGTATTCCCGCTGTGTGCCGTGTGAGCTGCCCTTCGATTGATTGAAAAGGGTAGATGGAATAAAGCAAATCTCTCACAATGGGGAGACCCCAGTAGGGGGAAGAAACCTTATTTGCTTTTTAAGAATGGTGGGCGTGTGTACACACACAGACCCCCAGATATATACACACATGCATTCTCAGAGTCTGGCTAAATGTGGTCAGCTCCCCCAGCCATGTGTGACAATGGGGTCTACCTCTGTCTTCCAGGCTGGGGAAGAAATGGAACATTTCTCTCCACATGGCCCTCGAGGGCGTGGAGAGGCAGGTCCCACCTACTTGTGCAACAGCACATGGTTTGCAACCGAAATAATGAGCTCCAGCAACAGTGGGTGCCTCCAAGGTAAAAAGTCCCTCCTGGGACCTGGAAGAGGCAAAGGACCAGGGTACAGGATCTTCCTGAAATGACTGCATCTTCCCTGTAGACCCCCACTCCTTTCCTTCCTTTCCTCCCTACCCTCTTTCCTTTCTCATGTATTTGCAGCCTCAGGATCCATCATTTTAATGCAAAGCCAGCAGTCATTATGCTGGTTATAAGCTAAACATCTGGGTTCAAAAAATCCCTGCACTTTCTGCACTTAGCATTAGGTACCAATTTGGTTTCTAGGACAAGGCAGGCATTAATTAACATCTCTGTAAAGCGGAGTATACATCATGCTTTTCTCGCTCTCTTGCCCAGCCCTGGAGCATGCCACGCTGTCATTCACCCTCTCTGCCACTCTTCTGTGCCCTTCCTTTTAAGTTCTCTGAGGTCTTTCTCACTGGGAAGGGAGTCACATTAGAAAAACCCCAGCCACGAATGCTTCTTTTCAGCAGACTCTCACTGCCTGGTAGACTGTGTTTAAGGCAGCTCTCCTGTGAGCACTAGGTGTGGGTCACCTACAAGCTGTTCCTTCTTGCCCAGTCACATCCTCCTGGGGCTCTCCTCTGTCTTCCCAGGACTTCATCCTGAATGCCCACTGGGATGCTGCAGACATTTCTGGAGGACTCCAAGGCAGTCAACTTGTTCCCTTTCTCCTTCTGTGTGCCTTTCTGTCGCCTGCTGCTGCTACTCCCTGCAGACAGGGAAATCTGCACGGCAGAGTCTGCCTACATACACTTGGCCTCGGGATCCTTTTCATCACAGTGAGGGCTGCTGGGAATGAAGTGGGGGCTTTCTAGGATGGCAGCAGTCCTGAAATGGGAGAGAGCTAAAGGGGCTGGGTCATTAACCGCTCTTGGCTCATAGTTATCATCAGGCTTTGATGCAAAGAAATCGCAGCGGCTCTCTCTCCTCCTAGCCAGCTAGGGGGCATTTCTTAGCCGCTTCTCCCCATCCTCAGCTAGAGAAGGCATTCGCAGACAATGCACATCAGAGACCTGTTGGAGCGGCTCTGTGATGGGTTAGGAGGGGGCGGCAGCAATACAGAAAACACGACCGTGATCTTGGCTGTCATTAGACTATGCGACAGATGTGCCAGCGTTCTCCTTTCTTCTTATTTGTGTCTGGCGCTACCCAATATTAACCTGGCTCAGGCCCTGGGTTATTGAGTAGGTTCATTTCCCTCCCTTGACTCCCCCCTTTCTGTTCCCCCAAACTCCACTTCTCTGCCCCCACCACTCGCTAATCTACCTCTTGGCTTTGTGCGCACATCCGCCAGCCCATTCGCCCTCAAATTTGCGGCACTCCAAGAAATCAATATAACATGAATTTAACGACAGCTGGGTGATTAAGTGTTATTTATATTTAAGAGCGGCATTTTAAAAAGACGTCTCACTAATAAATCAAACGGCTGTTTGGGAGATGCACATGATGAGGGTAATTGGCCTATAGGCTCTACTGAGCTATGCTTGGTCCACACAGAGCCCTGCAGACAGGACACTGTCTCTTTAAAAGCCGTAGGCTCCACTGCTCCCTCCGCACACTCCCACCTGATGCCCGCTAGCTGCCTAGACTTTCTCCTTCTTCTTTCACGTTGTCCTTACTGACCAGGCTGTAGCGTTCAAGTTGTGGCAGGAAGGTGGAGCCTTCAGGGAGACTGAAGGGGGCTCTGCTGCTAAGTGGTAAGAGATGGATCTTAAAACGAAAGGCAGGCAGGGGTCCTGATTCCCAGAGCCCAGGGCTTGTTCCCAAGGAGGAGGCTTCTTCCCTGCGTGATATGAAGCAGCCTGGAAGAAGAGCTTCCCGAGTCCCTGTGTGAGTCTGTGTAAGCTCCCCTGTTCTGTCCTGTGGCATCAGCCTCCCAAGGGAAGAGGCTGTGAAGACGTTAGTATTGGTTTCAGTTCTTGTAAACACAGTGGAATGGAAGATGATAATTAATGATGATGGTGGCCAATATTTATTGAGCGCTCATTTGGGTTAGGCACTATTTAAGTAGTTTGCCTCATAACAACCCAAATAGGCTATTACTGTCCTCATTTTCTCCAGGAGGAAACTGAGATGCAGGAGGTTAAGGACTTTGTCCCAGATCACACAGCCACTTAGTGATGGAGCCAAATCTCACTTGCGAGCAATCTGACCTTACATATCACTGCGCTGCTTGCCTCCTTAGAATTTACGTGCTCACCATATTGCTGCCCCTTCTGGAGGTTTGTGGGTGAGTGCCTGGGAGGAAGTTTAGAATATCTGACCCTAGTCTCTTGCACTACCTCTGTGACGTCAGGCAAATGTGTTTATTCATTAAGCCTTGATTTCCCCATTCATCAAGGGGGATGAGTTGTCTCCTTGGCTGTTGGTGGGTTATAAAATTGCATGGATCATTCTAGTAGAGTGCTCAGGTCCTGAGGGGGCCTGTCACCTCATTTGGCAATTCCCATTTTCTCCTGGGGAAAAATAAGGAGTAAGTGAATGAATGAATGAGTGAAGTCCTCATCTTCGCTTTTGATTCTATGAGGCTCTGATTCTGATAGGAGTCTAGTTCTCCCTGGTGACTGCTTCAGATTGCTGGTATTGCGGAAACAACACTTTCTCATTTCATCTTTAAACTAGCCGTGCAAGGTAGGTATTGTTTATTCCCATTTTGATAGCATAGAAACTAAGGCTGAGAAGAGAGTTTAGGTGACATGTCCAGGGCCCCAGGTTGCTAAGGGATAGAGAGTTTTTTCACTCTTGAGCGAAGATTCTTTTACCATTACACAGCTCATGGTAGGTGCTTGACACTTGTTCTTTCATTCATTCATTCATTACCTCTAGAGTTTCCGACTTCAGGATCCAGAAGCAGGGAAGAAATCTGTGCCTGGGGACATCATGCCATGCTGGGTGCCTGGATCCTGTGGTGGTTGCAGCAGAGACTCATCAGATGTTGGTGCCAATGGACTGTGTCGGGGGATAGATATCCTATAGCACTTATAGGAATTTTGATAGGTTCCCATTTGTACGAAGAAAATAACTCACACCTGAGATGGTGCAGGCTGAGTGAAGCATTAGGAATTATATCCTGATGCAAAAAGGTGTGGGTGCCCTGAAGGAGCTCATAGGCCTGGTTGGGTTCTGTCCCACTCCAAAACCATTGCTAAGCTCAGTCCTTCTGGTCTGAACATTTTAGGAAACAGCCACAAGTGAGGAAATTTGGTTACTTGCCTTTTTTTTTTTCATTTTCTCCAAAAGAAAATGAAAGAAAAAATCTTTATCCCACGTGTTATTTCTTTGACGTCTCTACACTGTGAGGTAAGTGAAGGTTCTGTCCAACTTGAGGTGGCTAGAAGGGGTGCACTTGGAATTGTATCACCTCCCCGGGGCAGCAGTAGGAATGAGTGAATAAAACATAGCGAGGTACAAACTGAAACCAACAGGTGTTGGCGAGATCTCAGGCATCCCTTCTTTTCCTTCTAAGCTTGGATCTTTCCCTCCCCCTCCATAGCGTTTCCTCCATGAACCAGGATTCGAAACAGCAAATTGGATTTTGGGGTGTTTTGTCACTCCAACACAAAACAGATCACTAGCTAAGAGGATAGAGTCTCCGCAGTCAATGCGCTGAACAGAGCCTCGCTGAATCAATTCCCAGGGTCTTACAGGGTAGAGTATTTTCATTACGAGATGCGAGGGGAGAAGCAGTTGAGGAAGAGGTCACTGGAAACGTGAAAGGAAAACATGGCAGTTCAGAGCTTTTCCTGGTCTTTGCTCAAGATCAGTTTCTTATCTGACGTACTCACTGAACTCTTCTCAAATGAGCACAGCTGGATTTCCCTTTTGGTAATGTGGACGCTCAAACTAGAAGGTGAACCAATCATTCCTTGGCTTTGGCCCAGAGGCCAAGAGGAAGAAGTCAGCAAGGCGTGGCTGGTGGATTGCTTCCGTTTGTTGTTGTGGCGGGGTTAGAGAGGGAGAGGAGATAGCAGCAGCATCAGGATGTGCAGACGAAGCAGCCTGCCTGGAATGTCAGCTAACGTTGCTACAGTCAGTTGGAGTTCATTTTCTTCCTCTCCATCTCAGACCTGCTTTCCTGAAAGTAATACTTAAAATAGAGCAGAGGTTCCCAAAGTATATGCTGCGGGGGAGAGACTAGGCATTACATACAAAAAAGTTTTTACAGTCAGACAAGTTTGCAGAACCCTGAGCGTAAAACAAAGCTAAAGACACTCCTTGCTGCAGGACTTCTCAGAGCCTTTAATATGCTCACACATGGATTGTGAAATCACAAAAGTAGATATATTGTGTAGCGGACCTGGAATCCACAGAGAAACACTGGACTAAGACATGCACTTTCCTATGTCTACTCTCAAATGTGAATAAAGGGGTGGCTTCTACAGTGAAAATTTCCACTGAGCTTTTGAATTACATAAACCAAGTACCAGATTCTGGTGATTGTGTAAGCAATAGGTTCTCAAGAAGAATTGTGTCGGGCAGGCAGAGAGTCCACCTCTGGCCTCAGCATTTGCTCAACCTTCTCCACAGCCTATCTTGCCCTTGTCTTTCCAAGGAAAGAGAGAGGTACTCAGGCTTGTGTCCATTTTCTTGGGTTCCTAGATGATTCCTGTATGTCCCTTTGCTTAGAAACCACTATTGTGGAAAAAGCTAGGCTTGAGATGTAGATAACACTGGCTAAAGGATCTTGGGAAAAGCATTTTATGTTTTAGTTTATTGTTTATAAAACGAGGAGGTTGGTTTTGGTCTAGATTGTGATTAAACATATTTTAATATGTATACAGTGAAAGTCTCCACTCCAGTGAGATTTTATTTGGAATTCTAATGCACAGAACAGATGCAAGCAGGACTGTTCTTGTGAAAGCTATGGAGAGCCTGGGCCTTGCCCCCTCTGCCTGTCTGTCCTTCACCCCAGTCACAGCCTGGGTTCCCTAGAGAGTAGAGCTCAAGGCAGAAGCTGTGACTTCCAACTTTATTGAGGGGTGGAGTCCCAGGAAGCAAGAGTGAAGCGAACAAGGAGAGGGAGGGAGGGAAGGAGAACAGACAGTGAGTTACCACGCTGGCCTCGGCTTCCCAGGGAAAAGCAGCTGGTGGTTCCGTCACTCAGGAGGTATCCAGGGAAGCCTGGTGTGAACACCATGTCTCAGAATAGTCTGTGGTGGGGAGGCAGCCAGCAGTTAATCCATGGGTCCTTCTGGTCTGCTGTAGCTCACTGGTCACAGGTCACCCCCTGAGGCATCAGCCGACTCCCCTCACTTTGGGGTTGGGACATCAGGTCAAGCTAGAGCCTCTGTGGGTCAGGCCCTAGGACTGGGGCTTCCTTCACTCTCCCTGTGGTAGGTATGCCAGGGTTACCCCTGCTGGAGCCCAGCCTTTGCCTCTGAAGGAAGAAAAGACAGTGAGAACTTTAGGACCAGAGGAATGGCAGAAAGCATCACTGGGGCCTCTTTGGTCCATTACATACTGATCCTGTCTTCCTCCCTAAATGCACTTGCCCCTAACCACTGATTGATGTGGGCAGCTCACAGACTTAGAAACGTGGTTCTGCGTTAGGGTGTCTGCCTGAGAGTTGTGGCTCCTAGAGGGTAGGGTCAGGCCCTGCTTCAAGCGGTCTCTTGTTTAATCAAGAACTCAATTCATGCTTTTAAAATAATGATAAAGAAGCTGCTGCCGGCAGTGGCAATGATACCAGTTGGAACAGGAAAATGACTGCAGCTCAGAATTGGGGTGGGGTGGGGTGATGTCAGGTGAGACTGAGCAGATCTGGGCAGATACATAAATTAGGAGTCTGGGATAGTGGCTTCCACGCAAGCAACATAAAGTTGTTCAGAACAGAGTCGATGGTGAGACGGGGCAGGGTACTCCAATTAGGAGCCCCAGAACTCATGACTCTATGTCAACACTAGTCGACTACACTGTGGGTTACCCAATTTAAACCCAAAATGGAAACTGCATTAAGAATGGGTGCCAGCCCAATTTCAGGAGGCTTTCCTAACATCTTGGGGCTTATTAAACAGCGGCGAGCCTTCCGCAGAGTGGTGTGTGACTATCTCAGGGACGGAGCGGCTGCTGGGGAGCAGGGAGAGGTCGTTATGACCCCTTCCACTCTCCTACTTTTCAGAAATAATGAAAGCATTGAAATATATTGCAACGGGGGACATTTCTGCATAAAATATTTCCTGTAAGTCATTGCCTCTAGCTAGTCCTGCCCCTCATCGACATTTTTTACTACTCTTCTGCTTTGAAGGCCCTTTAGGGTCAGGCTGGGCAGAGGACTGATGGTCAGGCTGTGCCTGTGACCTCTTTCCCAGCTCTCTGTCCATTAGCTACTGACCCTGTCTTCCTCCCTAAGTGCACTTGCCCCTAACTACTGATTGATGTGAGCAACTCACCCGACCTAGAGACGTGAGCCTGCATTAGGGTGTCTGCTTGAGAGTTGCAGCTCCCAGAAGGTAGGGTCAGCCCCTGCTTCAAGCAGTCTTTTGTCTAATCAAGAACTCAATGCATGCTTTTTAATAATAGTAAGAAGCTGCTAGGGAAGTGGCAATGATAACTATGGGAATTATGTGTTTCCTTATGTCTTAGGTTGAGAGGGACCGTTGCTTGCTTCTTGAATACCCAGTGCCCAACTCAGAGCCTATCTTACTGGAAGCAATTGATGAATATTTGCTGTAAAAATAGATGGAATAAATGGAACAGGACAAGGTGAAGAAGAATGACCTTAAAAATGTCAAGACTGGGGAAGTGTGAACCAGGCTACCATGGTGGGTTCCTGCTCTCCAGCAGCAACAGAGTAGGGATCACATCAAGTCGGGCTGGCTGGCCATTCCAGAGGATTCAGGTGAACCTGGATGAGTGCAGGCCGAACCCCTCAGTCACCCTCCAGCGTCTCCTGGGTCACAGTGGTCGGGGACAGGTAGGTGCAGTGGTCTTGCACACGGAAACACATGGAATTGAATTTTTTCTCTCTGGGTAAAACTCACAATGGGTTAGGCACTGATAGATTGCGGGCGAAGACTAAACTGAATTTAGCAGAACGTTCCAAAGACTAGTCCGTAAAACCCTCCATGGAAAAAGCATTCTTTGGACAAATAAGTTTGCAGACACCCTCTCTTTTGTCCTCTTCTTGGAGGTGCACAAGAGTGAATTAAAGATGAGGAAGACCTGTTCTTGGGAAACCTATTTATTCTTAGCCCACTGCTTTTCAGGTTATTGGGCCATGGGGATCCCTTTGTGTGGGTGTTTTTAAGCCTATTGATGTCTCCTGGAAAGAGGGTTTCATAGAAAGGCATTCTGGGAGATGGTGGCCTTCAACTGGAAGCTTTCAAGTTTCAGTTTAGTTCAGAGGTGAAAAAAGCAGAAGAATGAATTCACTGTACTGATAAAATAGGGATGTGTGACCCCAACTTTGAGAGGCACTGCCTGTCTCTTGTCCTTGTCATTTGCTTTGGAGACTCCCAGAAATGACTGCGAATTCTCACAAAACTTTAGTGACCGTGGCCAGGCGGTCTGCCTTCAGGTGTGTAATTCATAAAGAAACCATTTCAAGAAGTGTGAATACAGCTCTGACAGGCTTGTGGACCTGTTTTCCACAAGTGGCACTTTTTGGTTGCACATAACAGATCAAGATGGATGTTTGCAAAATGTGAGTAATGACATTCACCTTCTCCATTTTTTTGTTTCCTCAGCCATACTGCTTGAATAAGAGGCTTCCATATAACTGACAAACGTAAATGTTCTTTATCAAATTAACAAAGGAAGCCTGAGTTATTAAGACACACCTCCCTAAACTTTGGATGGTTGAAACAAATTTTCTCTTCGGAAGAGAACACTTTGCCACCATTGGATAGTGACCAGAGTAAAGTCAGGCATTTCCCGTGGGAAGCATTTTCACTGCATTCATCTTACATAGGTAATGATGTGCGTATGTGTGTGTGTGTGTGCGTGTGTATGAGAGAGAGAGAGGGAGAGAGTGTGTGTGTGTGTGTGCGTGTGTATGAGAGAGAGAGAGACGGAGTGTGTGTGAGTGTGTGTGTTGGGGTAAAAGGGGGTAGCCCCTCAATGGTTTTTGGGTTTGAATCACTTGGGGATACTGTCTGGTAATCCACATGACCAAATATAGAGCCTCCCCATACTTGACGCAGGCACCATGCTCCTTTCCAGAGTGCATAACAGTTGCTAACACACACTAACAAAATTCCCCTGACGCCCATTCATAAAGCATTGCACTAGTGATTCTATCAGCATTAAACTGTTTGGTGACTGAGCTTAGAATTATAGGAATCGGAGAAATGAATTAGCAGTAAATCAAGTCCCAGCTGAGTTCGAACCCAACTGCAGTGAGTTTTAAATTAAAAATATCTTGCTACGGTGAAGCGGTTGTAAGTCGAGCGCTAGAGCTCTGTCGCTCTTGACTTTGGAGAGGCGTAAGGAAAACCCTGACAACAGCTTGTATTGATTCCCAGCCATGCTGGGAAATTGGCACTTCATTTCTTCTTCATAAACTGTTTCTTTCTTTCTTTCTTTTTTTTCAAAAAAGGAATCCTATGTGCAGGGATACAGCAGAGCTTTGGGAGGAAGATGGTGGGAGAGGGCTCAGGCCCACGGGGAGCTATTCATGGCATTCTCTTTGGTCCCCAGGAAGAGTCATGCAGAAGGGGCATCTGGGTCTGAGAGTGTCATGTGGTTTGTTTTCCTGCTCGGACCGTATTTGATTCTCCATCCTGGAGGATTCGCACAGAAAAACAACAAAGAGAACACTTCAAGGAAGCTGCAAGACTGTCGTGTTGCAGTGATAATTGTGGTGTAATAGGAGATCATTTATGTAAGTTATGGTGCCCTCTGAATGGAGCTTGTTGGAAATGTGGCTATGGCTTCTCCAGGCCTATTTTTGTTTCCTTCTGCAAAATAATCCTGAGGTTTTCATTTTCAGAGCAATTGAAGAAGTATTATGTGCTGGCCAGGGAATAGAGAGCCCGAGCTTCTAATCCTAGGTCTGCTGAATGTCTTTCAGTGAGTTCCCCCTCTGGGCTAGGCCTCAATTTCTCCTCTTTAAAGCCAGGAATAAGCCCTTGCTGTTTCCCACCTGCAGCCCAGGAGGTGAGGATGAATGTGGCCGTGCATATTGAAGGGCTGGGTGAGCATCAGAAGAAGGAGTCTATTTACACACAAGGTCAAAGAAAATCAAGACAAAGAGAATGAAAACTGAGCTCAGGCCTCTAGTCACACCTTTGCCGGCTCCGGTGGGTTTGCTGATATGGTGAGGCGGTGCAAGTGATAAAAGCCACTTGCAGAGGATCAGAAGGGAGAATGCAGTAGGGATGGCAGGAGACAGTGGCAGGGGACGGTCAGTGCAGGAGTCCAGAGGCCCCGATCCTGGTAGTAGTAGGTTCAGTTGGGGACTGCAGAAAAGGGTTTATAACATCCCTCAATGCCCACCTTTCACCGAGCTCCATACATGTATATTTGCATATTTTAGTAAGAGAGGTTGCTATAATGTTATGAAATATGTGATCAATTAATTGATCAATCAATCAGTCAATTCATTCAATATTTATTGAGTGCCTACTATGAGCTAGGCACTATGTGAGAGTTTGTGCAGAGATGAAAGATCTACTTCCACCATTAGGGAGCTCATGGCTTAGTATGGCCACAGCATATGTGGGAATAGGGAATTTACATGCAGTGTGGCAGGAAGTGAGATTGGGGCATGAAGGAGGGGCTCTGGGAATAGGTAGAGGGATACACATCCAGTTATGAAAAGCAGGACATGAAGAAGGCCTCCTGGAGAAGGAGGATGAGGAGCAAGAAGAGGGGGAGGAGGAGGAGGAGGATGAAGAGGAGGAAGAGGGGCATCCAATTGAGTTTTAGAGCATTGTTTGAAAGGATCCCTCAGGTTGAATTTGTGAGCTCATAAGCAGAGGTCCCACGTGGAGGAAGCAGCATGGAGAGGTGAGAGCACAGCCCTCAGGGTCTTCAGGAGATCCAGGCAAAGATGGGAAGTGGGGCAAGGGGCGACACGGCAGAGGCTGCACCAGGACCATTGTCAGTGTCTGACTAAGGGATTTATCCATCAGGCCTTGGGGAATATCCAAAGAAGAGAATCAATAAGACCAGATTTGTACTGTAGCAAGGTTCGGTGGTGAACAATTGGAAGGGAGGCTACTGCAGTAAATCAGAGCATCCTGGACCAGGGCTGATCAACGGTGATGGCAAAGGAGAGAAAGGGGCTGATCTGAGAAGTACATCATAGGAGTTGGCGTTGACAGATGGTAGATATGGTGGTGAAGGTGGTGGGCAGCAAAGAACAGGGATTGGGGCCGTCCTGCAGGTGTTCCATCTGGGCAGCTTGCCCAGAGGTGATGCCATTGGTGGAGCTGAAGAATTCTGGGCTGGGACAGGTTACTGGGGGAGAGGTAGGGTAGGAGTGCTGCAGTCTTTTCTGGACAAGATGAATTGAGGCACATGTGGATTTGCAGGTGGAGGTGACCTGGAGGCCGACAGATACAAGGCTCTTGTGTCTCTGGCAGCTTCATCTTCATGCTTACCTAATGCTGTTTACTTCTGGTCCCAGTTGTAGACTTAGAAGTTCCTTTTGGGATCTGGCAGAAACTTGACAAAGAAGCAAGAAGATCCACATAGAGATTCTTACATTTTTCACGTGGTTCGTGTTTTGATGTCAGCATACTGCCTTGGACAGTGTACTTGAAATCGTTCTGAACGCATCCTGGGTATTCACCTTCCCTTAGGAGAGTCCCACTACTTTCCAGTGGAAAAAGACCGGTCCTGGGAGGTCCAGTAGCACTCAGAGTGCTATGGAGCACGCCTGGGCTCTGTTCTGCTTGTTCCCTTCCTCGGTGCGTGTCTCCAACTTCAGCGAGCACATGCTCAAGACAGTGTGGTCTAGGGAAATGAGCTCCACCGTGAACTAAGAGATTAATGATTAAAATACTGACCTTGCCCATTAGGAATAACGTCTTGTTGGTCTAATCCTACATTCTGGGAGATAGGACAATCAAGGCCTGCAGGTAGGACCTGGCTGCTAGATAGGGTTGGCTTGGTTCAGGAGCGCCAAGGAATGTCAACGAAAAATTTTTATGATTGGAATGCCTTTAGGTGGGAACCTCCAGGTTCCACCCCCTGTTATATCTTTGCCTCACACATCTGTGATGAAGGTATTTTTAAAATACCAGACACAGCTTAGGGCCTAGTAAACACTCAAGCAGTATCTGTTCTCTCTCTTTCCAATACGTGGGGGAAAAAATGAAAGGGTTAGCATACTAGTGACAGGTGCTTTGACTTCTACAGGGGAGCTTTATAACCTAGTGGTCTTCATTTGTTTCAGGAGGTGTAGACAGGGGCTCCTGTGTTCCATTACAGTGTTCATACCATAGAAACTGCAGATAACAGGCCATTAGTTTGAACAGAGTGCTAGAGAGATATATTCACTTCCTTCAAGTCTACCAGATGCTTTCAAACCTCTGTGCTGCTGTGGAAGGTAGTGAGACTTGTGGGTGTGGAGAGGCCCTAGACAGTGCTGGGCTTCCGACTAGCCCCAGCATCCTTTAGACCACTTCTTCAAGACTGAGGGACCCAGGGAGTTCAGGCCCGAAGTGTCTTTAGCTGCAAAATTGCAGTACAACGTCAAGTGAAACGATGGATCCACTTCTCTGAATTGCTTCTGGGCATCTCAGAGCTGCTAATAAAATTGGCTTGTACTTTGGGCTGTCTTCTGGGGAGAAACGGGGAGCGGGGCAAGTGCTTTTGAGCTCTAACCTTTCAAAAACCCCACAGACATGGCAGGATTTCTGTTCATTCCTCCTCATGTCTCTTTTCCCAGCCCTTGTACATTTCATCAACTGCTCTCAGCATGTTATATATTTATGGAGCTGCACTTTTGGTCTCAGGGAATTCAGCAGTTTTTCCCAGCTTATCTGGTGGCACAGTGTTTCCTTACTAGGGGGCAGAGGGCAGGGCCTGGGACTCTAAGAAGAGAAGTAACCTAACCGCAGTGATCTGTGGTCGGGACTGGAATAGAGCAGTTGACGCCTCCTGGGGGTGTCCTCGTTACATCCCCTCACCATGCCCCTGTCCACTGCAGGTGAGGCCTTTGGGATTGGTGAGCTGAGCCCTCTCCAAGGCTGTCTCAGAGCCTGCAATGAAGGTAGGGAATCCCTACGCTTTTCCCTTTTCTTGTACCACCTTCGTATGTTTTAGTTTAGAGGCTACCTACTGACCTGGAGCCGTGACGTATTCTCAAAGGGGCTGCTGGTTTTATGCTTGGATGATTAGATCTAAGAGAGTAGGCAAAGGCGAAAGAGGCAGGGTACTGACCCTGTGCACGGCGTCAAATTGGACAAAGAATCTCGGCTGTCACTGGCCCCAGGCCGAGTGTTGGGGGCGGTGGGTGGAGAGTAAGCTTTGCTAAACCTGGGCCTAATTGCATGAAGTTCTATAGCTCATTTCACTCTCCTTCATTCCTTCTTCCATGACTCAATACTAGCAAGGCCAAAGCCTTCTTGGCAAATCCTTGAAAATAAACTAATTAAATAAGTTTTCTAAACTGTATTTATATTTCTGGCAATTATTTTTGAGTGAAATGGTATTTTATTTACATCTAGGATTCGCAGCAATGTAATGGAAGTTCTCTTGTTTTAATTTCATGATGCTCATTTTTGGAATGTTCAAGAGAGCTTTTAGAAAAAAGCTTGCAGAATATCACATGACCAAATATAGAAAATTCACTTTGAAAAAATGTCATTTCTCCAGCACATACTGTTCTGAAAGAATGGTATTTTCACCTCAAACTTATATTTGAAAACTTTAAAATATTGCTACGTATGGAACAGCATTTAACCAGGTAACAAATTTTACGAGTAGACTTAGCCACATACCAGGCCTTAGCCAAGTCGGGGCATTTTTATGTGAAGACAGTAGTATACGTACAGACTTTCTGAAAATTCAGCCTGCCAAGAATTTCCTGGTAATAAATAATTTATTGGCTTATATTTTCAGTATTTACATCTCATATTCCCAGTTAATTGCAAGCTTCTTGAAAGCAGGCATTGTCTTAGACACATTGGCAGTTCCCTTTGGACTCAATGTGGTTGTGTTGCGTTGTTTGATTTTTCTCTCTCCCTCTCTCTCCCTTAAACTTGGTTTTCTGAGCTTGAAAAGAGACGTGTTTGAATGGTCTGACAGTAGAGGGCATTACACATCCTGAAACAACTGTGGATCTACAGGAAGTGGGAGGTAGCTCTCTGGGGAAGTCTGCAGGCAGTGATGTCCATGTCTTGGTGTTTTTTCTTCCATACGATTATCATTTTTCATCAGCTGTGGTAAACAGAGCACCTAACGAGTTGGGCTCTAGACCACAGACTTACTATAATACTTGGTAGGCAGAGAGGAGCTGCAGATAACATCCTTTCCAAAATGAAAACTCCGTTAAACTTGGCTGGCTTCCTGTTGTCTTTGGTCAAAAGGTCCTAAGGTTTTGCAAAGGTGAAAACTTTTTAAGGTAAACTAAAGGAAAATTCAAGGAAATAAAGAGATTTTTATTCAAGGGCACCAACAGTTGCTCCTTGGTACTTGATTGCCTATCTTTATGCCCCCTCCTTCCATTTCCTCCATCTTCTGTGAAGGATATCTTAAGTTGCAGGTTTTGATAAACTCTTCTCCCACCTCTTTTCTCTGAGCCAAACATCCTGGCTGTACTGGCAAGTTGGGAGCTTTTGCAGGGGATGGGAACAACTCAACTTCAGTAGCACGCGATGGAGGATTCGTTCTATTTTCACTGCTTTCTGCATTGATGGAGAGCTCATTACTGCTCATGGTGAAGGTAGGTCTGACTCCACATCTGATTTTGTGACTGATCACAGGTGCAAGTCACCATCTGCAGGAGGTGTAGATAGCAAAGCCCAATGTCAGAATTCATCCGTGTGGCAGGCTTGCTGGGCAGAGGCTCCATAAGATCTTGTGGCAGCCCCCAGCCCACTGCTGGTTCATAACCAGTGGGTCTCAAAGCTTCTCCCGCCCTCATTGTATGTGTGTTTTACACAAACTTCTGCCATCTGGTACTTTATCCATTAATATTTTTTGAAGCCTAAAATTTCAACTGATGTTTGTCACTTTCAGTTTCTTTTTGGGGGTCCAGTTTTGACCCCGCTTCAGGCGGCTAAGGTGTTTAAACTTTGTTCCATTCCCATCAATGGGTTGAGACTTATTCTAATATCAAATGACTTCTCTCACGTTATCTAATTTGACCTTCACAAGTCCTGGAACCTGTCAGTTGCAAATTTGATAAATGTGACTCTCAGTCTTCATTCAAATTACCGAGAAAAGTACAAAACAGTGCAGGACCAAGGATAGAACCCTTTGACATGGCATTTTCTGAAGAGCTTCCCTTTTGGGTTTGACAAATAACCATTGATTCACTTTCTTTAGGCTCCAGAAGCAGGGGAGCACCCAGGACCCAGGATAGTATTTGGAGGCAGACAGGCCTGGCACTGCCAACCCAACTTAACGCGAACTTGGCCATGCCTGACGGGCAGATTATGTGGGGACTCACTTCCAATGATTACAGGCAAGTGAGAGCTGTGGGCCTTCTCCTCTACAACCTTCCTTGCAAAAGCAAGTGGCGGACTCAATTCTACCCTACCTACCAATCTTTGTTAGTAACCAGGCACAGAAATAGCCATACAACCTGTTTTTGAATCTTAGTGTGGATCCTGCTCTCTGCCTTAACCAGTGTGTCAGGGAAAGGTTCCAAGGTTTGCTGATGTAGTGGGTTACCTCACACCTGCAGGTGGACAGCCAGAGGGCACAAGGGGCATGCAGCAGGCAGAGGCTCCCTCTCTGGCCCCAGGGTGTGGTAAAAATATCATCACTTTCTGCAAGTGTCAGAAAATGAGAAAGTTTGGGAAACACTGACTTAGTAACTCTGACCAGTTTATTTCAAGGAAGATTTATTTGAGGCAGATGTGGCAATGTGGTTGCAGGTTTCATCTTGCCTTCTAGTGGGACTAGAGGACGGCATCCTTTGAGAGATGAAAGAGACCTAGTAGGACCCCCTAGGCCAATGGGACTAGAGGACGGCATCCTTTGAGAGATGAAAGAGACCTAGTAGGACCCCTAGGCCAAGAATGGAGCCACAAAGGGCTCTAGGCTTGCCAGATTTTTGTACCCAAAGGGCAGAGATGTCTGGATGGCATTTCTAACCAATTATCCATCTTTGACACTGCTTAATTTCCCATTGATAAATTGTTTCCAACATCTCTAATGCTTTTTAACAAACAGCGTAGACTCTGATACGAGGCTTTCAAAGGCAAAGTCACCAGCCCTGGTTAGCTACAACACTTCAGATGTTGACTAACCATCCTTGGGTGGGGATTGGAACTCACATTATACCACCCTGTTTCAGCTGACGCATTTTAAAGTAATTTACAGACAGCCTCAAGCCTTGGCTACTCGGCTGTGTAGCATCAGCGGGTTACCTGTCTTCTCTGATGTTCAGTGTTCTTATCATTAAAAGAGTAAAACAAGAGACTACTCTAACAATTAAGTGACATAATACATGGGAAATAGCTTGCACACTGCTTGATCCATATTAAATGCTCAATAAATGAAAAGATAGTATTATTGAAAATTGTTGCCTGGTCTTCAGATTCATAAACCTCGTTATTCTGTTTCTTGCCATCCTGTGTTGGGTTTAAACACTTCAGTTTTCTTGGTTTATAAATAGGCACATCTGTTTCTAACACTGGGCTTCAACAAGCCCACTGCCTTGAGGTTCTATAAGCAAATGGGAAGGGAGGAAGAGCAGGTGGCTGGTCTCATTGCATTAATTCTAGCTCTCTGTCAGAGTATGACCTCTTAAAAAAGATTTAAAAATATTTGTAGGGATTCCTTTATTTTTGGAAGACTCAGAATTTTCCCGGAGTCTAGATTTAACAGCCACGTTTATGTATTCAATCTGTGCTCAGATTAGCCATCCACATGTAAACATACATTATTTTTATAGGGCCTGCAGCCGTGATATCTTAGATAATGTGTTTTTCTTGCCAGGCCTTGGTGATGGTTCCTTTTTTTTTCTTTCTTTCTTTCAGGTTTACCACCCAAGACTCTGAATTTGGTGTAGGGAGAGCAGATAGGACACTCTTGGCTCAGAGCGGTGGCTAACCATTAGTGAGTAATTATTGCCTGGAGCCTACCTGATAATTATGCCAAGCCTTGCAGGATGGGGCATCTGCTAATGTTTGCCTGCAACAAAGTCAGAAAGCGGAAGTGGTCCATTGGAGACCAGGGAGGTGTGTTTAGTGTACAGGGTATTTGCATACTTGGATGTGCTCACCTACCTCCAACGGGGGATGTTTATGAACACATCCCATCTCAGCTATCTTCAGTTCCAGGCCCTGGCTTCCTGGAAAGATAGCCTTAAACTGGAGAGTACGGGTCTCTGGGATTCGCCTGTGTGGTTTTCATCATGTACGGCCAGCCAGCCAATCAGAACCCTCTGCTCTGCGGCACGCTGGCTCAGAGCACGCGCGATTCTCCCAGGCACCTTAGCTTTGAAATCAGTGAAATCTCTGCATGAGGACGAACGATTAAGCTGGAAACATTGCATTATTCCCAGCAACACTCTGGCTGAGAGAGGAAAGAACCACCGGTTCACTGTGGAGAAAGGTGATTTGCCACTGTGGAGAGGGAGCAAAAGCTCGGAGAGTCTGGAAACGGAGTGTGTCAGTGTATTTTGAGGATGATGGGACCTCTGTGAGCAGAGAGTCCTGCTCTGGTCTTCTGGAGATGGTCTTTCCAATGCATAGTACACCATGGGGAGATTTGCCATTGCTTCTCTGTCCCCTAAAGGAAAAAGGGCACCTTATTGTCACACTGTCCCCCCAGGATCCTTGTCACTGCCATCCTCTACTCTTTCTCCCATCTACAGTGACCACAGGACCTGTGTTTACTAGAACAGTCTGTGGGCTGAGTAGGTGTCCTGATACTTTTGGTTTGAAAATAGTCACATCTCTGTCTCTGTCTCTATCTCTATCTCTGTTATCTCTATCTCTGTCTCTATCTCTATCTCTCTATCTCCAA